GCCCCCAGGACATTTGGTATCTGGAGATATCTGTTATTGTCACTATGAGGTAGGGTGCTATTGGTATCTAAGGGGTAGAGACCAAGGGATCTTTTTAAAATAGCGTACAGTGCACAGGATAGCCCCTGCCCAAAGAATTATCCAGCCAAAAATGTCACTGGTGCTGAGGCTGAGAACACTGCCCTAAAATGCACTTTAATGAACCCCTCGTATTTTAGCAGTAGGCACAGGCAGCTGTGTTTGTTGGTGGCTTTGATGTTTTAGGGTTTAAACAATAAGATGCTATTTCTTCCTCAGGTCTCCTCTCTTTTTTATTGTAGGTATTAAAGTAGAAAAGAATTTCAGCATCATATTTCATATATACTAGGTGAGGGGAGGGCGTTAGTATGTTTTCTTCTAGCTTAATTTCTAAGATTCCATCTTACTACCTCACCTTTCTCTTACGTCACCAATGTCTGTTATGTCTGTTATGTCCAAAATCACTAAACAATGCAATATAGTTGTATGTCCCTTAATGTGTTCATAATATGATTACCTCATTAGAACAGATGGTTCAGAGCCAAGATACTAGCCAAGATACTAGATATAAGACACAAGATACTAGAAAATTTTCCATTTTCTCCAAAGTGAGAGAGAAAGTGCTAGGCAGAGTATGCAGTATACACTTTTGTTTAAAAGACAGCAACATGCAAAAGCCAAGTGTTTGCTTCACAGCTACAAATATTGAAACAAAGAGAGGCAATATAGAATGCAATAATTCTCACTTCCAGAGTGAGGATTAGGAACTACAGAGAGAACTCGGGTTTGTCAAGAATAAAAGTGGGTAATGTCCCTCCAAGAAGTGACACCATGTCTTTTTTCCAGTGCTATATGTTCCACATGTATGTTGGAGTTCGTGCTGGAGGAGGGATCGGGGATGAAATCGAAGACCCAGCAGGAGATGAATATGAGATCTATCGAATCATCTTTGACATCACTTTCTTCTTCTTTGTTATTGTCATTCTCTTGGCCATAATACAAGGTAAGTGTCATCCTCGCTGAAGCTGATAACATCTAGAATTTGAGCCACATATTGCTGAAGTTAATATTCGAGGTAGGGTAATAACATCAAGTGTTTCCTGGCAAAGCCAAATCAAACTTTTCCTTTCAGTATTTCTTCATCATGCAGTCTACAGGGGGAAAGGTAAAGCGGCATGGAACCCTGGTATGAATGGAAGATACAGTGTTATTTTGTCTTCTTTCAAAATAACATAATGGAAAGGGCACTTTCCTTGGTTTGATTCACACCTCTGGGTTTCATACTCATGAACCCCAGCTTTACAGTCTTGGGTGGATGAGCCATATAACCCTTTAAACTTCTAAGCCAGCTGGGTGCGGTGGCTCATGCCTATAATCCAAGGACTTTGGGAGGCTGAGGCAGGTGGATCATTTGAGGTCAGGAGCTCGAGCCCAGCCTGACCAACATGGTGAAACCCCATCTCTACTAAAAATATAAAACTAGCCAGGCATGGTGGCACACGCGTGTAATCCCAGCTACCTGAGAGGCTGAGGCAGGAGAAGTGCTTGAACCCAGGAGGTGGAGGTTGCGGTGAGCTGAGATCACATCATTGCACTCCAGCCTGGGCAAGAAGAACGAAACTCCATTTCAAAAACCACACACACACACAAACCCACCACCACCAACAACAACTTCTAAGCCCTATGGTTGTTGAGAATTTTTTAAATGACATACAGGCCAGGCACGGTGGCTCACGCCTGTCATCCCAACACTTTGAGAGGCTGAGGCAGGTGGATCACTTGAAGTCAGGAGTTCAAGACCAGCCTGACCAACATGGTGAAACCTTGTCTCTACTAAAAATACAAAAATTAGCCTGATGTGGTGGTATAAACCTATAATCCCAGCTACTTGGGAGGCTGAGGCAGAAGAATCACTTGAACCCCGGAGGAGGAGGTTGCAGTGAGCAGAGTTCTCACCATTGCATTCCAGCCTGGGTGATGAGCAAAACTCCATCTCCAAAAAAAAAAAAAGGGGGTAGCTGGCAAGATGGCCAAATAGGAACAGCTCCAGACTGCAGTTCCCAGCAAGATCAATGCAGAAGGTGGGTGATTTCTGCATTTCCAACCGAGGTACCCAGTTCATCTCACTGGGACTGGTTGGACAATGGGTGCAGCCCACAGAGGGTGAGCAGAAGCAGGGTGGGGTGTCACCTCACCTGGGAAGCACAAGGGGTTGGGGAATTTCCCTCCTCTAGTCTCCTCCCGGGAGGAATGGTGCACTCCAGCCCAGATACCATGCTTTTCCCACAGTCTTTGCAACCAGCAGACCAGGAGATACCCTCCACTGCCTACGCCACCAGGGCCCTGGGTTTCAAGCACAAAATTGGGTGGCTATTTGGGCAGGCACCAAGCTAGCTGCAGAAGTTTTTTTCATACCCCAGTGGCACCTGGGACACCAGCGAGACAGAACCATTCACTCCCCCAGAAGGAGATCTGAAGCCAGGGAGCCAAGTGGTCTGGCTTGGCAGGTCCCACCCCCACGGACCCCAGCAAGCAAAGATCCACTGGCTTGAAATTCTCACTGCTAGCACAGTGGTATGAGGTTGACGTCGGTTGCTCCAGCTTGGTCAGGGGAGGGCCATCTGCCATTGCTGAGGCATGAGTAAGCAGTTTTAGCCTCACAATGTAAACAAAGCCACTGGGAAGTTGGAATTGGGTGGAGCCCACTGCAGCTCAGCAAGGCTGCTGCGGCCAGACTGCCTCTCTAGATTCCTTCTCTCTGGGCAGGGCATCTCTGAAAAAAGAGACAGCAACCCCAGTCAGGTACTTAGAGATAAAATCCTCATCTTCCTGGGACAGAGCACCTGGGGGAAGGGGTGGCTGTGGGTGCAGCTTCAACAGACTTAAATGTCCCTGCCTGACAGCTGTGAAGACAGCAGATCTCCCAGCATAGTGTTCGAGCTCTAATAAGGGACAGACTGCCTCCTGAAGTGGGTCCCTGACCCCCATGTATCCTGACTGGGGCCAACAGACACCTCATACAGGAGAGCTCTGGCTGACATTTGGAGGGTGCGCCTCTGGGAAGAAGCTTCCAGAGGAAGGAACATGCAGCAATCTTTGCTGTTCTGCAGCCTCCACTGGTGATACCCAGGCAAACAGGGTCTGGAGTGGACCTCCAGCAAACTCCAGCAGACCTGCAGCAGAGGGCCTATTAGAAGGAAAACTAACAAACAGAAAGGAATAGTATCAACATCAACAAAAAGGACATGCACTCAAGAGACTCTATCCGAAGGTCACCAACATCAAAGACTAAAGGTAGATAAATCCATGGAGATGGGGAGAAACCAGCACAGAAAGGCTGAAAATTCCAAAAACTGGAACACCTCTTCTTTCCAAATATCACAACTTCTTGCCAACAAGGGAACAAAACTGGATGGAGAATGAGTTTGACAAAATGACAGAAGTAAGCTTCAGAAGGTGGGTACTAACAAACTCCTCCGAGCTAAAGGAGCTTGTTCTAACCCAATGCAATGAAGCTGAGAACTTTGAAAAAAGGTTAGAGTACCCAGTTCATCTCACTGGGACTGGTTGGACAATGGGTGCAGCCCACAGAGGGTGAGCAGAAGCAGGGTGGGGTGTCACCTCACCTGGGAAGCACAAGGGGTTGGGGAATTTCCCTCCTCTAGTCTCCTCCCGGGAGGAATGGTGCACTCCAGCCCAGATACCATGCTTTTCCCACAGTCTTTGCAACCAGCAGACCAGGAGATACCCTCCACTGCCTACGCCACCAGGGCCCTGGGTTTCAAGCACAAAATTGGGTGGCTATTTGGGCAGGCACCAAGCTAGCTGCAGAAGTTTTTTTCATACCCCAGTGGCACCTGGGACACCAGCGAGACAGAACCATTCACTCCCCCAGAAGGAGATCTGAAGCCAGGGAGCCAAGTGGTCTGGCTTGGCAGGTCCCACCCCCACGGACCCCAGCAAGCAAAGATCCACTGGCTTGAAATTCTCACTGCTAGCACAGTGGTATGAGGTTGACGTCGGTTGCTCCAGCTTGGTCAGGGGAGGGCCATCTGCCATTGCTGAGGCATGAGTAAGCAGTTTTAGCCTCACAATGTAAACAAAGCCACTGGGAAGTTGGAATTGGGTGGAGCCCACTGCAGCTCAGCAAGGCTGCTGCGGCCAGACTGCCTCTCTAGATTCCTTCTCTCTGGGCAGGGCATCTCTGAAAAAAGAGACAGCAACCCCAGTCAGGTACTTAGAGATAAAATCCTCATCTTCCTGGGACAGAGCACCTGGGGGAAGGGGTGGCTGTGGGTGCAGCTTCAACAGACTTAAATATCCCTGCCTGACAGCTGTGAAGACAGCAGATCTCCCAGCATAGTGTTCGAGCTCTAATAAGGGACAGACTGCCTCCTGAAGTGGGTCCCTGACCCCCATGTATCCTGACTGGGGCCAACAGACACCTCATACAGGAGAGCTCTGGCTGACATTTGGAGGGTGCGCCTCTGGGAAGAAGCTTCCAGAGGAAGG